CCGGGTATGGGAGACTCTGTGAGTGTCGCGCGGACACCCCCCAGTATAGCTCAATGGGTCTCCGAGGTACATAAACCGCCACACCACGGTAAGGTCCAGTCTCTTCGTGACGGGTGCACGAATAAATATGCGCCCTCACCTGGCTTCCTGCTTGGGGTCGATATTTTAGCTGTGAATGTGGTTGACGGTGCCTGTTTCTCTTCCTCGACTGGTAAGATGACGGGAACCGTTGTTTCCTGGAACGCAATTTGACCGGATGTAGGTGCCTCCGATGAGAATACCGTTGAACTAGCCCGTGTAGTTGAATATTTCGCTTTGAAAATTGTAGCTAGTGAATAGGGAGCAACAAAGAATGATAGAGGGTAGAATTATCTGAAAACTTAACTACGGGCGCTCGTCGCTCTGAAACACGCGATTTGAAAAGAATTAGACCCCTTAGCGAGAATTACGTAAAACTTGATGAGTTGGTTATTGAGTCACATTTAGCACTCAATTGGATCCATACAGAATCACAATTATTACTCAACAAACCGGTTTAAAAGTACCTTTTAGTTAAGTGATGACTCTTCGGTGCATTTCAGAGGCTTTTCAGCTCATATGTGAAGATAACACCCTTAGCAATCTAGGACTCTTCTACTGCTGATTTTTCGGTGATTTTAGATCAGGACAATAATTTACAATCACTTTTGGAATATCCATGACCTTATCATTTTTCTTTCGACATAATTTATGAACTGCACCAGGGTATCAGATAATGGAATAGTTTCATTCGTGACTGAGATTGTCGCTACCTACGGGCATTTTTGTTTATGCAATTTGCCAACTACATACGTTTGGTTAGCACGAATAGTTTGAGAGTTTGGGGATTATAACGGTAGAAAATGCATTAAGTGCAGGGTCCTGACACAGATGTCACCATTTCCATTTTATAACATGAAAATAAGGTGATTAAAACGTTCTCCTTAAACCTCAGCTTTGACGTAAAGCTGAACGGATCTAACGAGTATTCTTGTTACCAGGAAGTACAATAAGATAGCTAATGAGTGCACTAATTGTTCAAATGAGTATATTCTAAAGGGCACTGGTAGGTGAGTCCATTTTTTTCCTTCGCGGTTACCGGAACAACTGAAAAGCAAAACATGGCCTTGTATAATTCACTAAACGTTGTTGAAATGTTTTTATGGTTGTCAGTTGAACCTGGTAGATGCGAAGGGGTGCACGGTGTCGGATTAAATTTTAACCACGGTGCAATCAGAACACTAATATGTTTTCATGCGAAATGTAACAGAATTTAGATTGTTGTCATGTGCCTTCTCTACCGTTTCTTTCTTCATACAGCATACATTAGCACTATATTCCTGATGAGTGACATGTTGAAAGGTAACGTTTATGAACATAGATTTTCAGCCTTTTCAGGGAGAGAGGTAGTGTTAAACACACCCAAAATAGGTGCCCTGAAATCCTCCAAGTTTAGTGACATCCGAAGTTCGATTATTCCTGATCATAAGACTATTTGGTATGTTAGAGTGACGCGTAATGCCACAACATCAGAGAAGGCAAAACAAAATCGCAGTTGGGCTAACCTACAGTGCTATTAAGGTGAAACATGAATTTACGAAATACACACAAGCCTCCGTAGTCGGAGGAACACATCAAACACAGATCGTGACTTTAAGCTGGTTTTTTAAAACGAAAACACAACAGACTGACGTAGTCCACATCTCGTCCTATCATCGTTCCGGTAAAATAATCTCCAAGGGCTTTTGCCAAAAACAGTTTGCTCTGAGTGGCAAAAAAACCACCCAAGAGATTCACACTGGAATAAGATTACTCACCGGTTGTTGTCAATGCGGAATGAAGTGTCTGCTGAGTCACGCTCGTCTGCTGAGTACTTGTTTCAACTGATGAGATGGTGTCCGATGGTCTGGTTTCTTGCTGTCTCACATCCGACTTGGCGTCCGACAACGCATTCACTCCGACCGTCGTCTGTGTCTTGTGTCCTGTCCCAGTTCGTGTTGCGTTTTGAGAGTGCAATGCACTTTCGCCTTTCCCCAAAGCCTCCGTATTTCTTGTCGAAAATGACACTGTTGTATTGGAGCTTATGTCTGTCTTCGGAGTATCAGATTGTCCGGCGTGAACTGAATTTCTCAAGACAGTTTCTGAGGCAGTCTGGAGGAGGCTTGTTTGGGCGCTTGATCCCATCGCGGTGGTAGCGGTGGTGGTGATGGAATAACCGAGTTTGTTCGGAGTTGCGGGCGCACTTACTACCAAACTGGAGGATGGTCTTCCATCCTCTGAACTTGGGATCACGTCTGAGCGGCCGTTGCTCCAACGCACCGTTTGGGATGTGGTCGTTTGGATACTGTTGTCGACCTCCGTTGTTGGACCGACGATTTCGTCACTCAAATTCCTGATCGATGCGACTCGTTCGCTTGACGTTTTATTGTTGGGATAGCTGTCGGTCTGTTGTGTGTGGTCTGTGCTATGTTGCTCTTCATCATCCTCAGGTGTTTGTTTAGCCAGATTTGTGTTGCGTATTGTCTGTGAGGTGCCAGCGGGAATTGATTTGTGGTGTGCAGTTGTTGTTGCGGTGGTGGTTGTTGTTACACGTACCTCTGTGGAAAGTTGATGGGATTCTGTGTTACTAGGTTGCCAATCCTCGCACTCTGTGGAATGGAATTCAATCAGGCGCATTCATTGTCTATTTTTAGCGAAAGTTTATTTGGTCATTTTTTGTCTTGCTAATCACGCTAATTGGACGATTCTTTTTCGGAATTAGCTGGCGAAACCTGGGACCCTCTAGTTTTTCTGTTTGTTATATTTAGCTTAGCGTTTTTCATACAATCCGCACATTGTTTATCTTTTTTCTTCAATATTCCGCCATGTTGCTTTTTGTCATACGTGTTCCCTATCTGGTTTGCCGTTTGTCAATTTTCCGTGTGTTCTTTTTGTTTCCTCTAGCAGTAGTTTTACACTGTTTGATTAATTCGTCTGTTCAGAGGACTTGTTTTACAACATACTTTCATATTTGGAGCTATTGTTTTGTACAAATCCGTTTGTCGAACGGGTGTATACCTTTTGGTTACATGGGTTTGCCCGTACTAGTGCAACTTATGTATCCTTTCGAAGCAATATCTAAACCAATCAAATATAAATTGCACAAAATTTTCCAACCGTGTCTCTGTTTACTTTCCCAGTTTCCTTATGTTGGCAACCGGGATTTGTTTTTTGGTATAGTTCTTTTGAATACGTCCAGCGTATTATATATTCGCATTCATGTTACAAAATGATTAGAGCTTGGCGCTGGTTTCTTCTCCACACGTTGCAAATCAGAAGTCCTTGCTATGTAGATTTTCAACGGAAGAATTGTTTATTGGATGCCTTCCCTCTTTATGTACCAAGTTGCATGCGTACATTTGCTAGGTCTTCTTCATCATGCTCACTCTACATATTCCACTCTGTGGTCCATATACTGCATTGCAGGCGATACTTTGGGGAGAGCATACTGATCAGAGATCTCACTTATTGTTAACACTAAACCAGGTCAAATGCAACAGTGCAGTTTAGCTTGTCTGTGTAGATTTTTCATCTTGCAAGCCAGCGAGAGTCAATTCTAACTGGGTGGTTTCTAACAAGTTTCAGGCAATTACACCATGATATCCTGGGAAATGTTCAGAATCAATCCTGTCGGTAAAGTCCCTGGTTTCAGAATATCTACTCAGTACCTTATTTTCAAGTGCTGGTAGCCCAATGGTCACATGGGCGCGAAAAGTTAGTTAGGTGTGTATCAAAAATGATCACGTCTTGGGTCCGGAGAAGCTAGGTACATTGCGGTACGCCAGTAAATCAGCTCTTCTCGTTGGTTCTTTGGGGGTTACGGAGGAAGTATTACTCAAATGTTACTGACATAAGGAAGCCCAAATGACAGATTGAGATAATCTTAGTTCTGTATTGGTATACAATTTGAATACATAATCGCTAGTCGTAACCATGCTTTGATTTCGGCCAAAACCTCAAGGAATACGTCCACTGGTTTTGTCATTTGGTTTTGTCATGGAAATAAAAAAACATCCATCTTAAAGGAACTTTTACTTGTTTAGCTTACTCTGGCTTACGTCATGCGAAAATTATCCGAATAGTCCATTTTATCGTGGTTTACCCCAAATATGAATGAATTTTGAATCACTTTGCCTTTGGAAAATCACACCATGTCACACAAAAAAGCTTACCAGAAAACCGTACTCCATCGGAAAAGGCCTCAGTGTCTCCAAGCGTGGGCTGAAGCTCAAAATAAATGGACGCCAGATATCTAACCGTATTCGGTTGCACGCTTCGGAAAATGTTCCGTAAACCCACAGCGAAAACAAGTTCCAGACTCAATTCAGCATAGATTTCCGGCAATTTCGCTTCAGCATGTTCATCGGTTTTAGTCGTGATCATCAAGTTACAGGTGACAATGTATTCCTGCGGGACATTTCCTCCATAACTATATACAAATTTAACCTAGAAGACAAGTTAAAAAGTTGTATACTTATACAATGACTCCTTGATCATGAATAACTTAGTAACGAAGGTCCCAAGCTAGAGTCGCAGTGTCTTTGTCTCTTCAGCATAAAATTCGACATATAAGATTTCGCTCTAAAACCAAAGAGCACAACCAGGCTACCAAAACTTGTCAATTCATATATTCTGAGAAAGCGCTGGAACTGCGTGTGTTGTACTACGATCTACGTCACTTCTAACAACCTCAACCAAAGTAAAACCTACCTTTAGCAAACACAAGAAATTGAAAGAAATAGATTGCCCCATAAAGCTGTCTCCCTTAACAGTAATATTTCTCAACCCTCAATTTTCAGCATTTGAACCTAAAAAACTACTTTATTCATGATGTCATTTATATCAAGATATCCGCAATGACATGAACATAAGATGTACACTCACTCATGCTTTGGTTACAAAGCAGATAAAAAGTAGACCTTGTGTTTCTCGAACCGGAGACATGATGGGATAGCAATAAAACCTGCTCAAACTTTAAGCTTGGCCTCCATGATCATCTTTATTTAAGCACTAGAATCAGCCTTATATTATTATCTGCTGTTACAGACAATTTATAACCCGTGGACTTGTCGGTAATTTTATTTCGTTGGTACGGCCTTTACATTCGGTTCTCAATTTCAGAGCGAACTTTTGCAGCCCATGATTTGGCGATCATTTCTTTCAAGATGTAAACAGGGCGTACAATGATCACGGAGCAATTGGATAAGAAGGTTTTGAATCATTCCCTGTCAAAGCGCGGTCCCTATAAAGAATACGGGTAAGTATGAACAAAATCTGACCGATTTGCCGGCTTATATTTTACCGTTTAGAGGAAAAGTAACAAAAAAATTAGTTTCCACAAAGCCACTAAGCTTTTGGGCTACATTCGGTTATACAAAACCTCCGTTTTACAATAGAGCACCAACTGCCAAACTCTTTTTATTGTGTTCGACTCCAGCGGTGTCCAAACTGCCACCGATTGCTGATACACTTGGAGAAAACCAGAATCGGAATTTAGAATGGCTGCACCCATCATATATATATATATATGTATATAGATATATATAATCAACATGTACGTATCATATATATGATGGGTATATGTGTCTCTGAAGCGGCGTGCTCCGAAGCAACAAGAGCACTTCGAAGAGATAGTCACAATTACATAGAATCGTGACACATGCGTGTATAAATAGCCTTGTGAGTGACCGATACACTGAAACTGGTCCACCTGCAAATATCAACCGGTAAGTGAGCTTATTCCACTACCTACTTGACTTCATTATCTTCATGAGGATTACACTGTTTATACTAGGTTGCTTAACGGGAAAACGCTATTACCACAATAACGGTGGACTAACAGGTGGCTTCCGAGAACTTTGCTGCACTAAAATGGAAGTATGTGGTGTGATGTAGAAAGTTAACGTTGGAACTCCTACTTTAAACGAGTACGTGATCTCAGCGTCCACTGATATTTTGTCCTCGGTAACTATTGCGTCTAGCTCTCTTTCAACGTCTTGGGGCAAACGCAATGTGGACCTTAGTACAGATCGACTTTATCTTTCTAGGCTGGCTCACACAAATGGCGAACCAACCACTCTGCTAAAAAGGCTAATCTCTGTGTCTTACGAGGGGACATAGATCATGCTTCCATCCACAGGTCGATTAGCATCCATGTCCAAGAATGGGATTCTAATATAACCAAAACAAAGTATTCCACAAACTAAATGGATTATAAAAGTTTGTTTGCTTCATTCATAAAGTTGGGCTTTGTTTCTCAATCCCCTTCCAAAAGAAGAAATCAAATTAGTGGAGCTACTCTAGCTCATTGAATCTGTCCTAACTGACGAATGAGCGATTAGGTATTTTTATTTTTCCAAGCAAGCTAGCCAACTGTCATTGAGAAATTGACAAAACTTTTGGTCACCGATGTGACGATTAAGTCATACGAGACTGTTGCTCGATAATTCATCTAATATCAGGATTTCGCAGGCCTAACTTCGGGCCCTAACTGAGTCACTTATGAAAAACGGAAAAACTGGATTTATATTTACAAGAAGCAGTCAACAGATCTACAGTACACCAATCAAAACTTGATATCAGGCTAGTTGTTAAAACAGACTGATAAGGCCATCATCTCAATTATTCTGATAGAGCTTTGAATAACTCACATGGTTGCACACTGATTTTTGAAGGTTTTGAAAATCTTCCGAAACAGAATCATGGTATGATTCATGGTACATAACCGTCTGTCCGTTTATCATGTAGGTACCTTGAATTCGCATGCAGAGGTCTGAAAACGCAAATACTTTCTATGTGATACTCCTAAGCACGCAAATCCGACGAGGAACTAGCCATTAACCTTAAAAATCAAGGTGATCCATTATCCATTGGCACCCTATACATTTCCAACACAATCAGATTCCAAGTATAATCAATGAAGTAATCGGCTGTGGCTCACTGCTGCTGTGTCGGCAGCACTGAGCTCACTTGGGTTGGAACTGTGAATCGATGAGGACTAGGTAATGAAAGAACCCAAAGCTTCCATCACATGGTTACCAAGTATAAGTTCAGTATTATTACGGCAGGTCTAACAAGGATGGTATCGTGTTTGAAATAGAATTAAGGCTATTCAGTTTCTCTTGTTTTCTTTCCCCCATTCAGCTTGAACTATTCAAAATTCCAAAAATCATTTAACAGTGTTGTTTTCTTTGATGCTAAAAGAACAAAACGGTTAACTCTCGTTCATAAAGGCTATTCTAAGGATTCTAATTCATAAAAAACACCTGCTAGATCAATTCGTTCCTGAAAAATTGGGCTGTGTGTTCTAGATACCATGTGGCAGTTACACCTTTTTGCGCCTCTTTATCCTTACATTCGTTACTACTCTGAACTGCAGCTGAGATTCTCTGAACTCCCATTTGAATCCCGAAGTTTGGAAAATGTTGGTCTGGAAATTCCGCGGATAGACTAACTGTCGAATGATAAATCATTCACGCAATTATTGACCCGACATTTCAAGATGTGAGATGACTGAGATAAGGACAATATTGTACACTCAGACATACGTAGTGCGGCTAAACGGGCAGGTATTTGGGACGGACAACCCTCCGCTGGCCGAACGAGTGCTCTACCAGCAAAGCTATTGCGGTTGCCAC